GTGGCAGCATGAATCACATGAGGCTTTTCCTGACAGGATGTGAACTGCAAAATTGGCTTCACAGAAACGACTCTGTGGCTTGAGGAGTAAGTGAAACTACACTCTGTGAACTGAGAGAAAACCTTATCTTAACTGTGGTTTAAGTCCATATTATGCAGAAACTCACCTTTAGCATCAAATAGATGATATATACATGATTGTTACACAGATGATCAGGATTATTCAGCAATGAAAATAGTGTAAATTTGTTTTATAATGTAGCATAACACATGTTGTGTGTGCATAAGGTTTCTTTTCACCAGAAATTCAACTGAGGGGATACTGGAGAGGAAAAAACGAATTTTCCAGTGAGTAACCAAGATAGTTTCCCCCCTGATGACAGAGGCCTCCACATCACAGAGTTCAGTACAAGGGTAATGTCACGGTCAGTTTTCAGTCATGTTGCCTCTGTGTGATGACAGCTCAGAAAAAGACAGCACACAAAGCACAGACACGGTATTTTATGGGTCATTCATTTTTTTATTACACTATTAATTAGCTCGACCAGTTTTAATTTCTCAGATTGCTTACAAATACAGTAACACAACAGAGCACTTTTTCTTTTTTTGCCAAATTAGAATATCTGTCTGCTTGTTTGCGGAGCGTGTCTTTGGTTAAAGGTCTGAATGAAAATGAAGGACAGCTCTCTCTGCGATGCTATCAACATCCCTCGAATCAATGCACTGTAATTGAAATCAGACAGACACAATCAATATCGAACATTTAGCAACCTGTACACAAATGGAGTAATTTAGTTCTACTTGTGCTTAGTGCCACTCCTCATCAATTAGGCAGAGGCCGTGTCCGTCTACATTTCACATTTCCAAACATTATAAACTTGTGTTTTTCTCGAACAAGCCTCTGAAATTACATTACAAGTGAAAAGCATGACCCTTGATCCAACTGATTATTACATGTAAATAAAAAATACAGAATAATTACATCCAAAACACAGCTTTGTAAAAGGCAATAATGCAGCAATTAAAATCTCAATAACATTGTTTATATTTCGTTGGGAAGTTAAGGGGACAGACCAACAAAGAAGTTTAGAGTTGGACAGAGGGTTGACGTACAAATGTGATTGGAGTAACTACAGTATACACCATTCTAAGTCTGCTAAATGCTGGTAGGAACCCTTCAGTGGTTTGGGAAACACAGGCAAGCTTATTCTCATCTATGGTCTCAGTAGTATCATTACAAGATCGACTGACTTAAACTGTGAACATACAACGTTTTCATTCACTAACGTAGCTGTACAAATTATACAAGGGCTATGACTTCTCCTCGTCAAACGTCATAACACAACCACTACCTGCAATTCACCTGCTTCTAGCAAGAGAAACCCAAGATTAATGCAAGATAGAAAAAAAAACCATCTGATAATCCGACTCTGTTGCTTATTTCAAAGCAAACGTTACAAAAAGTAAAGAAAAAAAAAAAGTAAACGACTTTTCCTCTGAATGAACGGATTAATGAATTTAAAGAAAACTGCCACCAGCGTGGAAAACATAAAGTATGAGCTGATTCTTTTTTACTGTATGGATAATCTCTACTACTGAATTCAGCAAAGAAAGCTTGAAAAAAAAAGCTCCACAATGTGACCTTTCTGCACCACGTTCTGATACAGTGGCTGAAGGAAATCAGAGTCACACATGAAGCAGTCAAAGATCAAAAAAGGGGGCATTCCCTTTTCTTACTTGCCTATACGGGTTATTATGCTGATCATAAATATGACAAACTACGATGAATCATTCAGTGAAATGCAACTAACATTCAATGATGTTGAGTCAAACTGGCAGATTTAGAGACATACAGTATTCTTTACGACTATCATGCCTGAGTGTGGTTTGGTTTTAGGACTTACACACACTGACACTTCACATGACTACAGTTGTGGCCTCTTTAACCTCCACCGCTTCTATCATACAAGTTCCTCTGCTCGGATACGCACCTGACAAATGTAAAAGATGAAGAGGCTGCTACATGAAGTGATTAGGGGAGCATCAGGCATTTCGTATGTCTGTTGTGTTCGAACGTCACTACTGCTATTACGGTCTACTGGGGAGGGGGGGGGTGATGCGTCACTGAAAAGAAGATGGAATCTCAACGTCTACCTTAAATACATTCAGAAAGAAGTTACTGTGTCGTTGTCTTGTGCTGGTTTTTACAACAGTCCGTTTTCAATCAGCCATGTTAGGAAAATGTTTCCTTCTCGTATCAGCACAATGTTCTATTGTTATGTATTATTCCATTACATCAATGCAAATTAATCATAGAAATGTCTACATCTAGTCGTATGTATTTCGTACGTTATTTACAGTGTCCATTTCGAACGGTGACATTTCCGACTTCTCAAAAGCAATGACAGGAACAACACAAATAAATACAGCAGCATCATACACCAAGTTGTCATGCTTGAATTAAAATAACGTACTTCTGATTATTCCTGTTTTACAGTTCTTTAGGTAGCAGGAGATATTAAATGAACTCATTCACTGACTAAATTAGCTGAATGGAATATTTGGTATATTTTGCCAAATGATCAATAACAAAGGGGACAGATCCTCTCAAGTCAACAAAACAAAGTATTTTTGTACCACCAGCAAACACTTCTGTTACGCCTCCTCTGATCTTTTTTCAAACAAAAGCCTAAATGTCTCACACATTCCAAGCAAACACCTCCACATCCCCGCGTCATGTTTTACTATTAGAGGTATTGTCCAATGTTACAGTAGCTCATGGAGGTAAGGTTAGCTCGACAATTTGCTGCGTAATTGCCCTTTTTTTAAAATCTCTGAGTGGGTTTTAGAATTGAAAATTACACCATAGTTTAACGAGGGTGTCATTCACACTCATCTACACAGATACATTATATCTAACTGTGGTACAATTTGAACAAATAGACTACTACTGAAAAATAAACACTATAAAGCATTATGCACCGTTCAATTTCAGTGTCTAGTGAGGAGCAGTAGATCAAGTCATGCCACTGGGATGGTTTTAATTGTCTATGACGTGACCATTTTCAGGATTATGAAATGTTGTGGCACCGCTAAAGAAATAGAGAACGACCCTTAGACTCTAACCCGGGAGAGTATTAGATTAGGATGGGTGACGTGAGTTTGTATCATATCTTATTATTCACATTCTGGTGATGATGGTAAAGTTGCTGTTGGTCATTTACAATGGGTTTGGGATGTGCCCCGTTCTTACTCAATTATTTTATGTTTGCAACACGTCATAAATCCGTCAAAAGGGAGTGTACCACTGTAACGAAGACTGTGTGTGTGGGGGGGGGGGGGGGGGGGACATGTGGTCGGGCATGACTTGTTAGCGGCCCCAGCGCCTCAGTTCATCTGTTCAAAGAATTTGTAGGTAGGGTTTTCATAACCGTGGTTCTGCATTTTGTTGAGCTGCCGTTCTTCTGGTGTCAGCATGGGGTCGACCTGCTGCGAGACACACAGGGGCTCAAATTATTACACAGTAAAAACAGGTTCATGAGCAGAGACCACACCATCAGTTCCGAGAATGGGTTTTTTCATATCTAACCCTAATAGAAATGTAGTATACTTTATATTTATGCTCAACGTTAAGCACATCAAAAGTGACTTTAGACTTCATGTTGAGATATAGATCGAAGCAATGATGCAACATTTACATGTTTTTTAAGTACACAGACAGATCTTGTCTTTTAAGGCCACAGATTGTCATTTAAGGACTGTGTGGGGTCGTACCTCTACGATGCCATGGCTGATAGTGCCGTATGGCTTCCTGCGCACCAGCAGCAGGCTGATCACCATCACCATGGCGATTGCCACAGCCACCACCAGCAACCCCACCATGGCGCCGCGGTTAAATGTCTCCAAAGCATCGGGTTGCTTTGGAAAGAAGACATTAAAGAAGGAGGGAGAAGATTACACGTTATTTTCATTTGAATTCATGTTTCTTCTTTTTTTAAACAATGAGTGTGAAGTTGTTTATATTTAATCCTGACCAGTTCATCTCTCGCAATCTCAGGCGGCTTGTTGACGACCTGCTTGAGCTCTGCAGAGGTGTTAATCTGAGCATACAGATAATGAACATGAATAAAGGGGGTTGTAAAGACACAGAACCACTGATATCATATATATAAACAAGTCATATACTGTATTTCTGTGTGCAATCTAAAATATCACAGGCTACACTTATAATGTTCTTACCTTTTCCTCGTATTCATAAGTAGGGCCTCTCTCGGATGTGGTATAATCATATTCATCAACTGCAGTCGCTATAGATGGAGTCAAAGATGCAAGACCATGTTAGAGTTTGAGCAAAAGTAAAGAATACAAAAACATTTATGTTGTAATGATCAGCAGCTCACCTTTCTTATTAGACTCTGCAGAGAGGAAAAAAGGTGGAAATCAGAGAAGAAGTTACATATTTTTTACACGTCACTTTAATGCAACAACAATAGGGACAGACTTAAGAATGTTGAATTTGTGGGTGTGTGTACGAGGTTTATGTAGATATGTACCAGTGCGGGGAGGATAAGGCCTGTTCTGGAAGGCTCTCTCCTCTTCCTCTTCATCGTCCTTCTCCTCCTCGCTCTCAGCCGGCAGCAGCTCCTCTGTCGTGCGAGTCTCAGAGAAGGAGGTGGTCATGAGCTCGACGATGTCTCCTCGCTCTGCCTTGAGCAGCTCCTCTGCAAGTCACACATAATGACAATTTAAAAAAAATCATAATTCGACTGGTGGCTGGCTGGAGTATAGGTCATGGGACCTGGACCAAACTAAAAAAAAACAAATTCACGTCAACTACACTTGGTTTCTTTAATTCATTATTTGATGCTATTAAATGTGAGAGGATTGGTGGGGCAGGTGTACGAACAGGTTCTCACTACTGAGGCTCTGTCCCAAGATCACTACAGTGCAGACTCCATCTCCAAATGAACACAAAGGCAGAATTTGTATCCAGAATATTTGAGTTTTCTGGATAGTGAGAAGAGGTGGAAACATGCTGTCCATCCATACAGTAGACGAAAAAATAAAAATAAAAATGATGGGTAACAATCTAATACTTACGGATGTCATTGTGCAGCTCCTCAGCCAAATTAGGATCCTTGTACAGCAGTGCCAGACTCTGGTTCATCCTCTCCTCAATCACATGGAGATGTGTATACACCTGGAAAATATAAAAATTCATGGGACTTCGGCTCTTTACCAAGAGGCCAAATAAAAGAATATGAGCCGTGAAGAGAGAAGCACTGAATTTGTTCCTTAATTGAATCCACAATGGATGGTTCACACGTCTCGAGCTGCTTTTTCTGAAGTCAGCAAAGACAGACTTTGATGTTGGTTTAATGAAAAGACAATTTGAATCTGTTCACCTCTCACAGTTCAGTTTTTATTCACTTATCTGTGGCACGTACTAACTCTTCAGTCCACAATGTTCTGTGTGTTTTATGGTCAGCAGAAAAAGAGCCTTGCATAACAAAACCACAGATGTGAGAAAAAATCATTTCAGACACACACCTGGAATTTCATCTGCTCAGCCTTCTGGGGGTCAACAGCTACAATATGCTCGTAGTGCCTGAGAGTGTGTCTGCGGTCCTTCTGCTCCGCAGCCATGTATCGCTTCAGAGCTTGCAGCACGCGGTCCGGCTGGAAGACAAAGTTGAAGAAATGCCAGAGATGGAGTTAAAGGTTTGTCATCGACACACATTTTATCGTTTTTTTATTCTCTCCCCTCCTCTGAGCTCCGTGATGCACTTCCCAGGAGTGTTTCAAGGGTCTCTGGGGGCCGACGGTAAGAGGAACTCTGAAACCAAATCCCATTACTACAATGCTCAAAAGATTAATTTAGTATCAAATTTATAAACGAAGTGCATACTGTGGATACACATAAATAAAATCTAAGTATTCCAAACACATCACACAAACACAGACATCTATGCATTATATTCTTCAACGAAATGCTTTAGTGATGTGGTGTCATTGGGTACACATACAATCATAGAATTGGCAATGCCCCTCAGCTTGGGGGCCCCAAGAAACTGCCTGCTTTGCCCACCCTGTCCCAACGCCCTGGCACTTACCTGAGGGGGATCAGACTGTACGGCATTCAAGTAGTTCTCCAGAGCCAGACGGCGGTTGTTGTTGAGAATAGCCTCTACTCTGGCGAGATGAGTCTCCACCAGCCTCTGCCTCTCTCCAGCGACCTGCTCCTCCAGCGTCTGCAGCACGGACTGGAAGTGCTGACAGAGGAAAGACGAGGGAGGAGGGACAAGGACGATGTTAATCTCTTTCCAAATTTCAACTTCAAAATAAAGCAGGATGAAAAAGGTCCTCGTACCTCATTCAAGGCCTGTCGCTCTGACTTTGGCAGATTCTTTGACTGGTTGTCTGCCTCTGCCCATTCCTTCATAATCTGAGGAAAAGAAAGAAGCAAAATCAGTCAGATACACTAGAAAGCAGTGGACCGACTGCTGCTGATAGCTTCTTATTTAAAGAACACATGAGACAGAGCAGTGTCCATCCTGTCATCAAAGAAGTAAATATATGTAGTCCCCAAAATGAAAAAAAAGGAATACAAAACAAAACATGTCAGTTATAAGAAATGTAAGGTAAAAGTTTTAAACACACAACCTTGCATCTGTAAAGACATCGTGCTTTTTTTTAGCTTAGTGGCTTGGCAGCAACATCACATTTGCATCTTGCAAAACCACAGCCAAAGATACAAATTAAAAATAAAATCTTGAAGTCGTACAGAAGTCATGAGGAAAGAAAAACACCCACATACAGACAAACATAGCTAGAAACACAAGTGTGATAAACTCAAGACTTCCACCACATATGAAACTTTACCTTGATACATTGATAAACTATGATAACATTCATGGAAGGAAATGAATAGTAAAATAATAAGAATTTACTATATTTGAGAATATACCATCCATGTTACCGTCCAGCCCCAGTTCAACACTTTTTTTGGGCCATATGTGGAATTTATTTGTCTTTTTTGTTTCTGAATGCAGGTGAAACACATCCAGGCCAGTGGCCCTGTCATCCTGTGAGATAGAGTAGAGAGCCAACCCAGCATGAGCCTGCTCTCATCTCTGTGAAATTCACCTCATTGATGCGCTTCATCCTGCGCTCCTCCAAGTCTGTTTTGGCACGCAGGAAGTAGGCATGCTCAGTGTCGTCCACCGGCTTCTCAAAATAAACATCGACACCATCTGTGGGCCGGGGCGCAATCACTGGATGGGAAAGACAGAAAACAGAGGTTGTTGCTGCCGTGTATTCTGCAAGAGCCAGAGAGCATCACTCCTTAAATTACAGGGTCAAAACACGACAAGGTTCGGCTGAGGAAGAAAAAATGAAAACGCAACAATGGAAAACAACTTTGTCCTGGAGAGAGTCTAGATGGAAGATAAGAGTTCTTATGTTTTTTTAATAATCTGAGCAGAGAACAAGGAAAAACCCATATCATGTTGTGTAAGACACAGGATTAAAACGTTACTCAGCTTTGTGGAGCTTTCAACTGATTCCAAATATAAGAAAATGAGAAGATTACTGAAAACGTGCAGACATTAGTGGCCACATTTCGCTTTGATTCATTACTTTGATTATTTTAAATGCAAGTAAAAGAGTTATTTCCGTTGGAGGATTATATTTTATGATGTACGTAGGTGGCTCTGTTCGGGTTGGGTATAATATATAACTTTGCCTGGCTAACTGACTGGAAGTGTGTGTTCCTTCGTCATAAATTGTGCGTCTAACAGTGACCAATTCTGAGTGGCGTCCTGTGGTAAAAGCCGTAAACCCTGCCTCCTCCATATTAGTGGCGAGGGCAGGGGCCAAACTAAAAGCTAAAGTCAAACAGATTTTTCTCAAAGATGGTGTCTGTCACTTTAGGTAGTTCTTATCACACCGATGTATGTGTGTATGTGTTGATTAAGTTAAGAGGTGAAAAATTGCGATTGACAGCTGAGACTGATTCACGGTTGGTTGAATGCCCTCATTACCGCGGCTCGGTCCCCCAATCATTACTGCGTAGACTCTGGCTACAAATGTCCAAGATGAAAGTGTTCGAATCCGGGATATTTTGCCATCACAGGCAGATAAAGGGAAACAGAGAGCAACGAGCACAACTCTATTCTCTGTCAGTTGTCAGTTTTGACTATGTTTACTGCTACTAAACATGTTTTAGTAAGTATTCTTAAAAAACAATTTAAAGATTAAGAGGAAAAATGAGGGACACTCACAGCTGTCCTTCATCAGAGGTGCAGAGCTGGTTGGTTTGAGGCTTTTGTCGTAATAAAACGATTCCAGATAGTCGGCTGTCTGGTAGGGACCTGAGTCAATGGGGTATTCATACTCCTCTGGATCCTTCAGAGCTATCGCCTGCTCCTCCTCCTCCTCCTCCACATCCTCCTCATCCACAACCTCCTCCTCCTCTTCCTCATCTTCCTCTTCCTCCTCCTCTTCCTCCACCACTTCATCGTCCTCCTCTTCCATATCGGCCTCGTCCACATCTGTGTCGGTAGGAGAGGGGCTTGGGGTGGGGGCTGTTACTTTGGTGCTGTGGAAAAGTGTCAACAGACATTACTCTGATGTCGACTAACACACACAACCTTTTGTTCTCCGACATCTCTGTGTCGTCTAGCTGAATATGTTCATGTCTTACACAGAATTAGGTTTTCCGCTGGTCTGGGATGTAAATGTCTGAGGAACAGCAGGGACCTCTCGCTCCTCTGTGTCTCCTTTACCACTGGTGCTCCCTCGGCCTGGGCAGCACACATACTCGACGCCTCGGAAACGGTCGCCACATGGCAGCAGCATCCCGTAGCTGTGAAGCTCCAGATTGTCTGCGGTGCATTCCTGAGAGGAAGGCAATCAGATCCACAAAGTTTAAAACACACTGTATAATGTGCAAGGAGGGTTAAAAAATCTAATGTAACCTCACCCGTTAGTTTTGGTAATAGCGTCTCACTTTTGGAACACCTACCGACCCCCATCCCTACCCCCATCTCTTTGAATTGAAAGTTAAAAGAAACTTTCAGTTCTGATTCGTGTTTTTTCTCTTTGAAAATAATAATAAAAATGTTTGAACAAACACCTCAGATAAGTGGACAGACAAAGTGTGACGTAATACAACACAGGGAGCACCGTCTAAGGTCTGCCACTGCTGTTACAACTGGCAGCACAAATGGCTTAAAACCTGCACTGCAAACTTTGTTGTGCACATGGAAACTTGTGCATCAGTAGAAAGGCAAATACAAATTACCTTTCTGCTTTAAAGGTCCAGATTTAGGTGAAAGGGAACTATTGGCAGAGATTTAATGGAGAATAATCCTCATGATGTTTTCACTAGTTAGTTTCTTCTAAATTTTACGAATTGTAGTTTTCTTTACCCCAGAAAAGGTCCTTTATATTTAAATACTTTATATTTACACCGAGGGGACCCTCTCTACGGAGGCCGCCATGTTTTTTTCATTAGTCCAGACTGGACAAACTAAACACCTTTTGAGTTTTTATGACAACTGAAGCTACCACAGGTTCTTTCATGTTTGGAAGGGGAGGATGAGTTGAGGTGTGTTCAGCTGCAACATGCAATTTCAACACTCAATATCACAAAATTATACACACTGTACCTTTAATGGGAGTATAAAACAGCCATTTCCCCACTCCTCTCACCTCTTTAGCTATGTTGTGCCAGTACACGTGGCTCTCACACGCATCCATCTGCTCCTGGTGGAGGAATCGGCATCGGTCGGGCACCAGCAGGGCCTCGCTCACATACTCGCCCTCTGCAGGAAGAGTATGGAGATGGTGAGGTCGGTGGAAGTTGACTTCAGGTAGCGTCAGTGTTAAAGTTAAACTGGACTTGAGCAGACTGCTTTAGTGAGGAAAACCGGAGTATGTGAATAAGCACAAGCTGTGTGAGTGTGATTGTGAACCAGCAGAGTTAACTGTGGATGAGAGGCACAAATTACCTCTGACAGAAATCATAAATGTGTTAAGTGCGGACAATCTACAGCAACAGCAGCGAGTCACAGACACAAAGTAAAATGTGCTTTGCTTAAAATGAATATAAAATATTCATTCAGAGATCATAAATGTGGGTGACTACTTTGTTTCATACAATAAACCACAGAGAAATAAAGAACAGCTTTTACAGCCTGTTTCTGACTTTGTTTAAATCCTGCTCCTTATACAACAATATTATTGCCAGCTGTTCTTTAGGGCTCGAATATAAAGGGATGTTTTCAATACAACAATAGTACAATAGAATATCAAACAAGCCAGAGTCAGTTATACAGTTCTGTGACGTACGAATAAAAGTGATTCATGACTCCAGAGTGACTCACTGTTCATTACTCATCCTTTCATTCACTCATCTATTGTTGGCTGACATTATGCTCCTGGTGGTTGGAAGCAGGCATGGCCCTTCTGCAACACTGTGGAGCTGTGCATGGTGATTTGCGTGTATCAAACTAAATACCATGATGTAGTGACACCATCAGAAAACGGTGGTACTAGGAGAGAAGCAGGGAAAGATTGTCCCTGAATAACAATACCTGAAATCAGTGAAGCCATGTGTGGAACTAAAAGAAAATCTAATGTCATCGCTTATCCTGTTAGCCGATGGATTATTGGTGCAGGCACGAACATGCTCTCACACTGAATCATGATTTGTGTCCCTCTGGATTTTGTGCAAAATATGTTGTGCAATTTCTTGTTGTGTTGATATTTCACAAGGCCCTTGAAGACACAACAAGATCTGTATTGTGTTATGGTGAAATCTCCACAAGACGCACTATTTGGTTAGTCAGGGTTTCTGCAGGTTTCAACAAGTTCAATTTAAGAGACTTTAATACCTTTTTAAGACCAGCAGAAATGAAAACGAATAAAACCCAGTGCTATAAAATATTTAATGTATTTAAGACATTTTAAGGCCTAAAATTCTGATGATTACATTTTAGTCGTTTTTTTTTTTACACCCTGTTCATTCTAACTGCCCCTATTTTAACTTTTGTTATGGGTTTTTGATTTGTCTTCGTCTTTTTTCACATTAAACTATAGTTTTGCTAAAAAGATGCCATGACCTCAAGTAAACAGTCGGTCTACAGATCTAGAAGATTCTTCTTTGAGCTTCTTTCTCCTCTTTGTCCTTCAAGATAGAAAACTAATCAAGACCGACACGAATTCTACTGCTTCTGTTTGAATCCGACTCGAGCAAGAAGTTTTCCCGATTACAGGCATGTGCAGAGTAAAAAGTAGATAGTCCTGTGTATTCTAAGTATCTAATGGCAGTGATGTGTGTGGATCTTACCTAGACAGCGGAAGGGCAGCACTATGAACAGATGTGTCTGGCAGTGTCCCCAGCCTTTCTTACACCAGGCGTTGATGGTGACGGGTCTTTGTGACTTCTCTATATGGGAGATCTGAAGCGCTGGGTACATCTGAAGGAACAGGCACATGCAGAGACGACAGAGACACAGAACAGATAGATGGATGGACAGAACGGAGGGGTTGGAGACGAAGGGAGCGGTGGATAGAGAAGAAGTTGGGGGGATAAACGTGGCAGGATCAGGAAAAAACAGGAAGGGTCCACAGTCAGTGGGGAGACGACTAACAAGGGAAAGATTCATGCAACATATTCTCGAACTGCTTATATGGAGCTGTGAAAGGCCTTTGTGTGAAGCCATGTTAGACATGTCAAACCAGACATAACTTCAGTGAACAGTGTTGTCTTCAAATATTTTCACATCTAACTTTTGTTTAAAGCAACACAGCGCCCTCTGCAGCCACATGTGGTGATTAGTTCTGTCAGGCTCCACGTCCAAGTGATTAAGTGGCTTTAAAGTCGAGAAAAAGCAAAGCCTCTGACTGCATAGTCCCACCTACTGATCGGAACTGGATAGAACTTCCTGAACTAAAAGGGCTGCTGTAACAAATACGCAAAACTCTTTGTTAATATTTTAATTTCTCAAACTAAATATTGACGCTGTTTTTTTTAAATTACATCTTTTTAACTGATCTACATTTTGGTACTGCCTTTGAATTTATTCTTGCAATTTAAGTTGCATCTATCAGTCAGTTACACACTTATCCCTGGATATTATACCTGCTCACCAAAGTACAGGTGTTCAGGGTGAGAAGTGGGAATCAAAGCTTCACTATTTTCCCTGTTATAAGTGAGTGTACAATCAAACACATTTTGAAACTGCTATTTTAAGGTTTAAAAAAGTTGCGTAGTGTTGCTTTAAAGTCAAGGCCAAGTTTTAATCATGAGAGAGCCCACAGACTGAATGCATGAGTCTAAAATGCCTTTTCCCCAATTCTAGAGACATTTAAAATAATTTTTGAGTAAAGACCATCACAGGCGCATTATGTGCCAGCTAATCTCATCACAGTCCACTCAGGCTCGTGTTATGTGTACTTTGGCTTCCAGGTGGTGCTTGGTTGCCTTTACAGTTGCACTTGGAATGAATATTTACAAAGGAAGAGTGTGTGGAGAGTATGTGTGCCTCTAATTACCTTACAGCAGAAGAGCACACATATCGGGTAACAAGAGGAGGATAAGTGGATGGTGGCGAAATTGAAATATTGCAATATTTCAACAGGCCACTATCTCTCTACTATATATGGTTAAATATATAGATTTAATAGGGCAGGAGTTAGACAAACCAAATTAGAGAAAAATAATGTGAAATAATTTGCTCCTATTGATTTCTTGTCTCATTCTTTGTTTCCTTTGCCATTAATATTCTGATTTTAATAATGCTGCTGTTGAGTTGTATTGATCCAGACTGATGTTCATTAGCGCTGCTGTAGCTTTATTTATTTCAGGACCCTACCTTCTGACAGTAGGACAGGATTTCACTGGGCTCTTTTAAGCAGCCCTTTTGGCCCCAAGAATCCGGCTCCCACTGGCCGGTCTGTAGGTTCATGTGCAGGAGCTGACGGCCACAGAACATGGCCAGCTGTGGCTGGGGGCCTGGCCCATTCACCTCGGCCATAGCCAGAGCCTAGACAGAAAGAAAGAAAGAAAGAGAGAGAGTGAGAGAGAGAGAGAGAGAGAGAGAGAGAGAGAGAGAGAG